AAGCCGATTCAACTTAAGGGTTAGGTTTAGGGTTAGCTTAAGGGTTAGGTTTAGGGTTAGCTTAAGGGTTAGGTTTAGGGTTAGCTTTAGGGTTAGGTTTAGGATTAGGTTTAGTGGGGTTAGGTTTAGGGGTTAATTTTAGGTTTAGCGTTTACAGCGTGCTTCTGTCTCCGCGCTGTTGTCGCCCTGTGATGACGTCAGCTATGCGGTTTTGTCAAGCGCGCTTTAGTCGAACGCGGTTTTGTGGTGGAACCGTTCAAATGTCATGGCAAACTAAACCAAGCAAATCACATTATGACTTGATAGCTTTGAAGCTAGCTAATGGTTGTTCTTTTCTTAGATCTGTATGCCAAAAGTATCTTGGTGTCTATATACTCAAATAATAAACTTGAATGTTCTCTAACAAGTATTTTGCCTTTTTTTTTAGCACTTTTTAAACTGAATACTAAGAAAGCCTATTCAGTGGGGTTGTCACTGTCTACCATTTTGAGCCAACTTTCCCTTCTGCCCATTCCTTACACAAAACAGCAACTACAAGAAGACCAGCATGGACTTTGCCAGTGCCTCAATGCTCTAGCACAGTTTGTAAGACCATTTGTCCTTGAAATTGTTCAACACATGGACATCATATCAGCTGGCAATCGCAACGATCTAAAGGAGGAACTACTAGGATTGTAAGCAAACCACTTTCTTTCGCAGGGTCTTTGTAAAAAAATCCAGCACCGTAGGTTTTACAGCTACTTGTAAAGTTGCAAGTACCAATTTCAGAGACAGATCTGCAAAAGAAAATGTAGGCTAAAAGCGTTTTGGCTCCTCTTCCACCCTTTTTTCTACAACAAATGCTAATTTTATTGTAAAAGTGCACAGTTGTCTCAATGACGGGCAAGAAATAGTTCTAGAGGACAGGACCATGTTGATCATAGAGTGTGGACGTTAAAAAACAGGCCACGTTTCGATCATATTGTAAGATCCCAGAATATGTTTAAAGCCCAGACAGAGCCAAAATAAGAACTTAAACGGAGGCTTGAGAAAGAATCAGCATTTAATCTTTGATCAAAGTTTAAGTCTGGGTCAACGGTTTCAATACATACTAGAGGATATGCAAGGAAGAGCTACACTTAGAGAAAGTAGGATTCCCCTACAGTTAGAAACATAAGTAACTCCCCCATGGCCCAGGTATAGGTCTTAGGGATGTGGAGCAACTCCAACCTGAGATACTGTATGTGCTAAGTCCTAGATTGCAGGAAGAAGGTTGGCAGGAAGAAGATTTGATCAAATCTTCAGATCAAATGGCAGGAACATATGTTTGACAATTACCAGATGCTTTTCAGAGGCCTAATACATCAAGAAGTTAGTTACAGGAAACAAATGTATAATATATGATACATATGTTACAAGAAACAAATGTTTACATAGTGTATGTGTGTTACAAATACAGAAGTTTACAGAACAACAGGTTTCTACTAATTTTAGTATACCAGTATTAGTATTAGTATTATATTTTAATATAATATTTTATATTCTGTATTATTTAGTATATCCTTATTATTATTTCCCTACAAAAAGAGCCGAGGTGGCGCAGTGGTTAGGGTGCAGTACTGCAGGCCACTTCAGCTGACTATTATCTGCAGTTCAGCGGTTCAAATCTCACCGGCTCAAGGTTGAGCTGGTGCAGGCCTTCCAGCTGGGGCAGGCCTTCCATCCTTCCGAGGTGGGTGAAATGAGGACCCAGACTGTGGGGGCAATATGCTGACTCTGTAAACCNCTTTAGTCGAACGCGGTTTTGTGGTGGAACCGATCAGTGCTACTCAACCTTGGCAACGTAAGGATGCGTGGACTTCTATTCCCAGAATTTCCCAGATATGTTGCCAAGGTTTAAAAACCATGGGAGTCCCCATCTGATGACTCACCGAAAGGGACAAAAGGCAGGGAAGCCCATCCATAACCTTAGTGGCCCTCACCCCAAGGGCAAAACCAGAGGGCTGCAGGCATTGCCGAGCCTTTTGAAAGGCAATTCTCCCAGATTTTTTCAGAAGGTCCCCTCTGCCAGCTTCAGGTCTCACAAACACGCTGACTGCATCTTTTGTGACCTGCTGTTCCCCCGTTGCATGAAAACCTCTCCTTCCACCCACACACCTGTTGGCGGTTGCCAAGGAGAGTGGAGGACAAAAGAGCCCAGCCCAAGTTCGCTTGGTTAGGAACATCTTTGAGCCTCGTGATATCTGCATTATTATAGCCCCCAGCAACAAAGCAAGGGGACAAAGATAACACCCTAATGTAGGGTGGCAAAAATCCGGATGACCACTTTTTGGCAGAGTGGGGGGGGGGGGACCAGTCCAGATCTGGGAGGCAGCCCTTGTGGAGCTAAGCTCACATCACACACCAAAGTGGGGTTTTGTCACAGTCATCTTCATTGTCATCAAGGACAGTCTGGTTTGTTATTCTCAAGTTGCAAGTGACTGGGTGGGCAATCAGAGGAGCAGAACTCCAATTTTTAAAGGGAAGGGGGGAAATTAAATTAGCTTGCCCAGCTTCTCATCTAACCTTTGCTGCCATGAAAGCCCAGGAAAACTGGGACTGAGTTCACTCATTGTGCTACAGCTAGACCATGGTTTGTTTAACCATGGTTTACTGAATAAGCCCATGTGCTGGGTTCATACGACACACATCCATTAAACACCCCGAGACAATACAACGTGTAAGAGTCACACAACAACCTAAGCCATGATCTGCAAACCACAATGGATGGATTTGCAAACCAGCTTAATCCAAAACTAAACCAATCAGTTTATTACATCATGTGTTCCGTGACTTAGGCCTGCATTTATCTGTTGGAAGCAGGTTCTTTGACACAGAGGTAGAATCTTTATTGGACCCCCACAGGAAGGATTCCCCCATCGTTATACTGGTGAAAGATCTGCATGTATCCTCAGGTCACCGTAATGTCTGAAAGTCCCGAGTAGTCAAATAGCTCTTGTGAACTCAGAACCCAGCGCACATCCTTCTCTGCCATCCTGAGAAAGAACAAGGATTGAAATCACTCCGATGGGAAACTCAGCATTGGCAGTGACTGGAATTGTATGTAATCCCAGTTAAATAAATAAACCCCAGCCCAGAGTCTCTGGGGATGACCCTGCCCATGTTTGCATCTTTGCTATTGCAATGTACACATTTCTTAGGCAAAGCCAAGGAAGAGAGAATGAATACGCCACGCTGAGTAACATATTGCACTCACACGCGTGGAACATAGAATAACAGAGTTCGAAGGGACATTGGAAGTCTTCTAGTCCACCCCCCTTCCCAGCTCATACCATTTCAGACAAATGGTTGTTTAGTTTCTTTTTGAAAGCCTGGAGCACCCACAACTTTTGAAGGCAAGCCGTTCCATTGGTTTATTGTTCTCACCATTGGGAATTTTCTCCCAATGTTTTTGCTTCTCTCCTTGATGTGTATGTGTTCTCTCCTTGGTGTAGGGAGCTGGCAGATGCCAACGGAAGTGTCCGAACTTACACTGGAACTCATTAGTGCCCTGTTGCTCACCCCTGATTCTATAAAGTATGATGTAAATAAGCATTTCTGTGATATAGACTACCCTCCATCCTTTCGTGCAAAGGGTTAAACCACAAAGAGCTTTAAGTAAAGTGAACACGTTGTGCAAGTGCAGCCTCTGGAAGCTCCACTCACTCTATTTTGTGTGAACGCAGCCGGGCCATCCTTGTTTGTGTTGGAGGCTCTGGAATGATGGATTCGTTTTAGAAATTTTAGGCTTTTATTAGACTTCTGCATCTATGGACCCGAATCTGCCTTTCTGTGCCCCTGAATAAGTCTCTTCTCTCTCATCTAGTTGAAGACTAAGATCCTCTCCAAAGGACCATATAAAGGGTGGCTGATATGAATGAATAAATAAAAACATTTTGACAAAAGGTCGTGGAACCAGAGCCTGACATTATTTCATCGCCTGTCTCTCTTTCACCCACCCACTGCAAGTCTCTTCCCCACAGAGTGGGGGTGGGGGTGGAGGGGAGCATCAAAAGCCCTGCGGAGCTGGTGGTTGAAGGATGCACATTGCCAGATGCCAAACGTTGCTTCCCCTACCTTCCCTTCCCCCTCCCCCCCCCCCCGCAACCCTCCTCAGGCCATTGGGTCTTTGGATGTCAGTGTGTTCAAATCACCTGGAAGGGGGTGGGGGAGGCTGGAAAGGATTATTCATCCCAGGAAGGCTGGCTCCTGGCAGGCCCGGAGGGGGGAGGCAGGCGTGCCAAAATCAGCAGCTGCCCGCCAGAGGCCTGCTTCCAGTCTGCTTTGTCCCGCATGGCTGGCAAACGGTGCCACCCCCCGCCCCTCTTCGGCAACTGGCTCCATCTGGGCAAGTGTCCAACTGCTCTCTGGGGAAGGGTGTGGGTTGTCCATGTCTGTGCTATTTACTGGTCCTGGGTGTGTGTGTGTGTGTGTGTGTGTGTGTGTGTGNTTCCCTTCGTCTGGCAACTCTGCGCATGCGCACACTGGGAACAGGCTCCAGCTGTTCTTCTGCCCCACTGATGTCTGACTCCAATGGTAGCTGGTAACTGTCGGACGGCTCTAGCCCCATCTCTGCCTCCGACACAGAGCCCTCATCTGAGCCTTCCCCAGACTCCAGGACTGGCCCATGTTCCTCCCCAACCCCGTCGCTGTCTGAATCTGCTGCCAGCTTCTCACAACAACTGGCCTGTGATGCCTCTGCCAGCCCAAAGGGAGCTCGGGAGGGCAGCACACCATCCTCCCGAGCTCCATTTTTGCTGGCAGGGGGTTGCAGGAGGCTGTTGAAGCTGGCAGAGCGCTTGGGGCCCCCACAGGCTGGCCACGCCCACCTCGGTCCCTGAGGTCAAACCCAACCCTGATGCAGCCCTCAATGAAATCGATTTTGACACCCCTGCTCTACAGACTAGTCGCTAATAATACTTTTTCTGCTTCTTCTATCATCCAGGCTTGATTTCTGGGGGAACCGGCGTGGACGATGGGTGGTGCGGTGAGCGCGGGAGAAGACAACGACGAGTTAATTGATAACCTGAAGGAGGCTCAGTACATCCGGTCAGAGCTGGTAGAACAGGCCTTCCGGGCGGTCGACCGGGCTGACTACTACCTGGAGGAATTCAAGGAGAACGCCTATAAAGATTTGGCCTGGAAACATGGCAACATCCATCTCTCTGCCCCCTGCATTTACTCCGAAGTCATGGAAGCCCTGGACCTACAGCCTGGACTTTCCTTCCTGAACCTAGGAAGCGGCACCGGTTACCTCAGCTCCATGGTTGGGCTCATCTTGGGTGAGTTGTCTTGCGTGGGGTAGTCCTTGACTTATGACCACAACAAGAATATCTGCTGCTGTGTGAGGCGTTTGTTAAGCGAGTCTTGCTCCGTTTGACCCCCTTCCTTAGTTTAGTTGAGTTTACTTTATTGTCGTTGCACCTCGTACAACGAAATTAAATGCCCTCTTCAGTGTACATTGCAACTGTAAAAATAAAAACACAAACTCGCATCCTTCACATGCTATATAGTTGAAATTGAAAACCCGATACTGCATTAATATTGCACTACACCACTAATCTTCAAACTATGGCCCGTGGGCCAGATATGGCCCTCCAATGCGAAGTATCCGGCCCACTAAGTGGTTGGATTCAGCCCCGCTGTCAGCATTCCAAATATCATCCAGAATTAAATCAGAGTCCAAGGCAGAGCTGTCCTCAAAGTTCCAATTTAATAAGAGAGACATGTTGGTACAAACTCTGGAAACCCGAATCTGAAGGTTTCCTGGGGTTCCCACCCAGTTGAAAGTTCATGAACTTNCCTTTGTAATGAACTCCCCATGGAGAGTCGGACCCTCACCACCCTCCAGTCCTTCTGCGCCGCTTTAAAGATCTGGCTGTCCCGGCTGGCCTGGGGTTAAGATTGTAGCCCCGCCCGAACTGTGTGACTGTTGTGCTCTTTTTTTAACATGTTGTATTGTCTATTGTTTGTCTTCCCCCCCCCCTTTTGAATTGTGAGCCGCCCTGAGTCCCCCCAGGGAAAAGGGCGGCATACAAATAAAGGAAACTAAATAAACTAAAACTAAAACTAAACTAAAACATCTGCTTTGGACACTTGTCAAGTACTGAACCTGGAGGGAATTAACCCTGATCCGGTTCAACAGGCAGATGCACACAGGGGGCAGACCTTTAGACAAAAAGCACATGGGGCTTTAAAAATGCAAGTGGGAAGTCACATCTCAAAGCCACTGGAAACATGTAGCATTCAAGGTAGGAAGGAATAGCCTACAGACATACACACAATTCTAAATGTTCTTTCAAGGGCAGGTCAACGCAGAATCTGTTACAGTAGTCCAAATAGGAAGCTTTAGGGCATGAGTGATTGTGAACAGGGCTTTCTGATCCATAAATGGTCACAATTTAGATAGAACTGTGCAAAAGCCTCCATGCCACGGCTGTCACTTGCTCTTCAAGTAGGAACTATGAGCCTATAGGAACTTGATTATGGGCCATCCCTGAGCAACTGCTCAGAGCCAGAGATGGAGTTTCCCTGAAATTATTAGGTCGCAGATCCAAATCTATCTTGAAGGCATTTAACAGCTTTCAGCCACTGAGCCAGCCCTTCCATGGCAATGCTTCGGCCTGAGAATTAGACTGATCTCTCCCATCATCACCAACTGGCAACACAACTTCAGAAAGGAGGGAAATCACTGCAGAACAGTACCATCCCCCCCAAATCTTTTAGAGACCATCCAGAAGATTACAATGGTCAATGGGAGACCAAGGAGGACCAGAAATTTTGCATTTCCCCAATCGCGGCCTCTCCAAAGGTTATCCACAAGAACAAAAATGCAATTTCTATGTGGTAACCAAATCTCAGCTATGACTGTAAAGGATCCAAATGATTGAGAGTCTATATATTATAACTTGCAATCTAATACTGTAAAGTGCTTTTATTATTTGGATTGCTTTCACTGAATGAACAGGAGTTATCTTAAATAGTATGAATCAGCAAATGCTATGGATATATCCGTTTTCCATTAGTAGTAGAGCAAATTTCAAATTTTGATTTATTTCATACCTCTGTTGAATTCTGAACATCACTTCCCATTCTTTTGGTCCATGAAGGGCAGCTGATAAAAGTAAAAATCCATTTCTGTGTATGGTCATGAACTTTTTTATTCTGTCAAAAATGACTTGGCTGTTTGTCAATAGCAAATCTTGAGTGTCGACAAGCAAAAATGCAACACCTAAGCAAAAAGAACTTTTTATTAAATACACTTAACTGTTGACTTAAAAGAGTACACACAGTATATGGTTTGTATATGGTTTGGTATATACAGCTGTTGAAACTGAAAAATCTATATAAAGCTGCATCCTAAATCCACAATACTGAAGATTAATAGATCTAGAAACAAAGATGAAAAATGGCAGTGGGCATTTTGGATAATATTTGTTACGATCGTATTTTATTTTGCAAGTTTTGTGCAGCAGTCCTAATACTAATGCAACATAAGAGAATTGGCAAGGCCCAAAAAACCCCCCAGAAAAACTGCTTTTCCAATTCAGAACCCCTCATCATCTTTGTATTATTCACTAATCATTTCATTATTATTTATTTTATAATAATAATAATCATCAAATCATTTATACTTTTCAAAACATTCTTTTCCGATGTTTGCATTAATATATTTATATGTACACCACCCATATATATGTATTCAAAATAATGTCTTCTTTCTAAGCGGAAATTTCTACTCATTCTAGAGTCTCTAAATGTTCGTATCACTTTTTTTGTGAACTGAACCCATTCCCATTCATGTCACCTAACAGAGTAATCTTTTTACACTGGATCATATTCATTCACAATGTTTTGTAATTTTTCTCCAAATTCATGTTTAATATATTTTCATCATTCACTGGAGTTATAGCATGTTGGTCCATGAATCTATGAACTGATATTTTCATATGCATCCACAATAATTTATATGAGAACAACTACTTTCTGACATACTGTATTGTACCTGCTTCACTCATATGGGTAGTTCTCATTTAACAAGGGCAATTGGGAGTGGAATTTCTGCCGCTAAGCGATTGTATTGTAAAGTGTGAGGTCGCATGACTGAGTCCCTTAGCGATGTAATCCCACCAATTCCTGTTGCTGTCACCAAATGTGAATCACAGTAATTAAGTAAGGAACCATTTACGACTTCTTGCCAGCTTCCAACAAGCATAGTGAATGGGGAAGCTGGCAAGAAATCACAAATCCTGGGCAGCTTGCAAGCAGGCTGGTGGGTGGCTAAGTAGCTGCTTTGACATGATACGAGCCTGGCTGAGGGTGGTGGCAGTTGTGATGGTGCTGACAGGCAGGAGGATGGGCAGATAGCTGGTACTGCATCAACATGGCTAAGTTGGCACATGTTATGGAGTGTGAGTAAGTAAGAGTGCTGCAAGAGGACGCATGCTGTGGAGTGGAGTATGACATTCCTGGATCTTGTACTCCATAGCTAGGTTCCTCAGGAGTGGTTACAAAGGGAGAGACTTACAGGAGTGACTTGCAACCTTCCCTGCCAGCTTACCCACCGACTTTGCTTATGGATAGCTAGCAGGAAAGGTTGCAAATGGCAATTACATGACTGTGGAACATTGCAAATATTGTAAGTGCTGGCTACTTTCCGAGCACTCAAATTGCAATCACATGATCACAGGCATGCTGGAACAGCTGGACCTTTGAGGATGGATTATAAGTATCTCTTGTTCAGTGCCAAAGTATCTCTGAAAAGTCACTGAATGAATGGTCATTAACTAAAGAATGCCTGTAATTAAACCTACACTTTCACTTAATGTAGGAATAAATTTCACTCTCGTGAGATCAGTACGTTTTCATTTTGATCTGTTATATCCTTTCCACTTCATGGAGAGTATTTTCAAAATGCATTAAGTACCCATTTTTCTTTCCTTTTTTTCATAAGGTTTGTGCTTGTTAATCATTTATCCCATTTAAAATAAGCCATTTTGGTGTAGCAATTAAGATGCTGGCTTAGAAACCAGGGGACCACGAGTTCTAGATCTCCCTTAGGCATGAAAGCTAGCTGCTGACTTGGTGCCTGTTACTCTTACACAACCCAAACCACCTCATAAGGTTGCTGTTACCTCCACTAGACCAATTAGATCCCACAGATTAGGCCTCCTCCGAATTCCATCCGCCGGCCAGTGTCGACTGGCGACTACCCCGAGGAGAGCCTTCTCTGTGGCTGCTCCGACCCTCTGGAA